CCAGTAGAATAAATACATACTGAGTGGGAATGTGGTTGGCCTCCAGGACCACATTCCAATGAATGGCTATCTTTACATTGAGAAAGCTGAGAACCGTTGTTTCACAGTCCTTGAAGCTGAATGTCTCAGTAGCCTTAATCTGGAGCTGAAGGCCTAGTCTTCAGGTCACTTTGATAGACCAAAGAAGCTGACCTTGGATTTCAGCAGAGGATGGCAGTGACAGCAGAGTAGATGAGCTTACCAGCAAGAAACAGGAAGGAAGCAGGGCAAATGGCTTCAGCAACTTTTGCTCTGGACCTCCTTATGTGCCTGCTGCTGCTGGAAGATGTTGTCCACACTTAGGGTGGGTTTTCCCATTTCAATTAAACAAGAAAAAACCTCCAATCATGCCAGAGCCTAAGCTAATCTAGATGACAGCTCATAGGTGTGCCTAGAGAGTTGTGTCTTGGGTGATTCTAGATCCTGTCAAGTTGACAAAATTAACTATTGTTACCAGTTATGTTTCTTTTTTGATTTATCTGGCTGTCTCTCTCTTTTTTATTAATCTTGGTAAAGATTTGGAGATGCTATTTTTCTTTTTTTTTTTAAAGCCCACAAATTTTGTTGCTATTCATAATTTGTTTTTACTTTGTATTTTGGTTGTTTTTTTTTTTTTTTCCTCTCCTTTAATTTGGGTTGGGTTTGTCTGGTTTTTTGTTTGTTTTGTTTTTTGAATCCTTGAGGTTACTATTGTTTGAAACCTTTTTTAAAAATTATCTATTTTGGTATAAATGTTTCTCAAAGCTGATTTTGCTGTACCACACAGATTTTGACAGATTGTTGTAACTTTAATGTTCTTAAAATTCTTTCCCTTTTATTTTTCAATTACCCTAAGCTCATTTAAGGACATGTTATTTAATTTTCATTTATCTATATACTTTTTAATTCTTGTTGAATTTTGTTGTCTGAGAAGATAAATATTTCAACCTTTAAAAATTGAGAATTGAACAGGGTGTTGGTAGTGCACGCCTTTAATCCTAGCACTCGGGAGGCAGAGGCAGTTGGATCTCTGTGAGTTCAAGGCCAGCCTGGTCTCCAGAGTGAGTGCCAGGATAGGCTCCAAAGTTACACAGAGAAACCCTGTCTCAAAAAAAAAAAAGAGAGAGAGAGAGAGAGAGAGAGAATTGACATATGGGCTGTCCTAGAGAAAATTCCATGTGTTGATGAGATGATTGTGTATTGTACTGGTTGAATGAAGTGTCTTAAAACTGTGTTAGGCCAGTTTTCTCTACAGTGTGGTCAAATTCAGATGTTTTTTAGTTTTTCTGTCTAGATCTTTTTAATCTATTGAGAAAGTTGGGTATTAACACTACTATTGCACTGGAATTAATTTTTAATTTTTTATTTTAATTAAAAAGATTATTTTACATGTCAATCCCAGGTCCCTCTGCCTCCCCTCTTCCCTGCCCCCCCCAACTAACACCCTACCTATCCCATACCCTTTCTGCTCCCCAGGGAGAGTAAGGCCTTCCATGGGGGGGTCTTCAGAATCTGTTATATCCTTTGGGATAGGGACTAGGGCCACCCCCTGGTGGCTAGGCTCAGGGAGTATCCCTCTATGTGGGATGGGCTCCCAAAGTCCATTCCTATGCTAGGGATAAATACTGATCCACTACAAGGGGCCCCATAGATTTTCGAGGTCTCCTCACTGACACCCACATTCAGGGGGTCAGGATCAGTCCCATGCTGGTTTCCCAGCTATCAGTATGGGGACCAAGAGCTCTCCCTTGTTCAGGTCAGCTGTTTCTGTGGGTTTCGCCAGCCTGGTATCAACCCCTTTGCTCATCCGTCCTCCTCTGCAACTGGATTTCAGTTCAGTTCAAGGTTTAGCTGTGGGTGTCTGCTTCTACCTCTGGATGAAGGCTACAGGATGGCATATAAATTAGTCATCAATCTCATTTATCAGGGGAGGGCATTTAAGGCAGCCTCTCCTCTATTGCTTAGATTGTTAGTTGGTGTCATCTTTCTTTAGATCTAATATTTGCTTTATATATCCAGTTGGTCCCATATCCAGTGCATATGTTTACAATGGTTTTATCATTGTTGTCCTAGTTTCTTTTTGTTGCTGTGACAAACACTAGACCAAAAGCAATTTAGTGGAGGACAGGGTTTATTACAATTTCCATGTTATAGTTCAAGATTGAAAGAAGTCAGGGTTGGAACTCAAGACAGGAATTTGAAGCAGGAACATGGAGGAATGCTGCTTGCTGGTTCACTCATTGGCTCATGTTCAGCTAGATTTCTACAGCTCAAGAGCAACTGCTTAGGGATGATGCCAACCAAGGAGAGCTGGGATCTCCCTTATCAATCAATGCAATCTCTCTCAGACATACTCACCGACCAATGTGGTATGTAAAATCCATCACTTGAGACTCTCGGCTAATTTTAGGCTTTGCCAAGCTGACAGGGAAGCAAAGACAATCTTGTCAAATTGATGCTTGTCTCTTTTCGAAGTTTCACTCCCAGGCTACTTTGAAAAGTTACCAGCCCTCTCCTAAAGCAGGTCAGCTGGTTCTTACATCACTGTTCTTCCCGTGTTGGTTAACAGAGGATGTTACGTTCTGTAATGTCATTAGATCACATTTGAGGTGTCATTTCAAATCAGTTGTTTTTTCTAAAGTCTATCTCTTTATCAGTAGCATTAACATTAACCAAGAACTTGAATCAGAAACAGTGAATGTTTTGACAAGGATACTGTGTTCTTAGAAACCCCTAAGGTAATTGCAGTGCACACTAAAATTTCAGTCTGGGTCTCAAACTTAATTATTCTTAAGTAACCAGAGATACTTGCCAAGCACTGTGGTCTGGATCCCTACCACATCTATTGGATCTGAATCTCTGAAAAGAGAAGCCAGGAAATACGTATAAATTTGGCCCCATACAATGCTAACATAGGTTAAGGGAGAACAAATGTTTAGGGCATTAGTCCTTAGACTTTGCTACACATGACAATCATGTGAAAAGCCTGATGCCTAGACCATGCCACATCACTTAAGTCAGACATTCTAGTCTTGGAGCATAGTTTCTAAGTATTTCAGACTATACAAGTTGAATTTCTAATAATGCAGCCAAAATTGAGAATAAATGGTTTTAGAACACATTAGGAGAGATTAATAACAGGTGGCAGTGAGGCACCAGACAAAGGCAGGCTTTCCTGAGACTTCAATCAAGTTCATCGGAAGATTTCCTCTAGAGAGTGGGAGAAACACAGATTAAACAAACAAAAAACTGTATGAAGTTATCCAGTAATTTCCTTTATTCGTACACATTATCACGATTTCACATTGACATCTTTCCAGAGAAATTTCTTCCACACTAGAGAAAAACAAAAATCATACTGTTCTTATATTATTCTATCTATAGTACTCTCTAGGTTGGAAAATGACTTGAGGTTGCTGACTTGGGGAACAGTCATGCTTCAATAAGTCCTGGGCTAGCCAGATGACTCGGTGAAGGTGGCTGCTGTTAGCCACTGTTAGTGTGTTTCTCCAGCCTCCATTAGAGGCTTTTAAAATGTGTCCCTTAAGAAGTTTTTGGGTGACTAGATGGCTCAGCAGGTAAAGACACCGACCACCAGGCCTGTTTACTCCAGTGCACATACACACCCACCCATCCCCCCCCACACACACATACTGGATGGATAACAATGTGAACTGATAAATGTAAATTTTAAAGTTTCTTACTTCTTAGTTTCATTTGTGTGTTTACCTCATGCTGTCAAAAGAAAGGAGAAAGTACACTTAGGGGTCCTTGTTTATAGTCTTAGCACTAAAAGCCAGGCTCAGTTTTATCAGAAAAGATCTTCCATCTGGTGGTCAAGCATGGCAATTACAGGCAATGCAAGTGGCAGTCCTCATCGATGGAGCCAATATGGAAACCAGTCCTTTTACAGCGGCCCAGACAGCAGGTGCTGCAGCTTCTAATGAGTCTTAGATTGGTGCCCTCTACAGCAGGCAGAGGAGAAACTGTTCTCTAGTTAAATAACTTAATTATTGCCTCTTTAATACCTTTAAAAAGTATCATCAGGCAATAATGTAACACATATGTATCAGTTATTTTTCCTCATTAGTAGAAAATTTTAATTTTTTTGTTGATCATTTGTTTGATACATAAAATGTCTAAGAACTTGCTACTTCCAGCATTCCTCTTTCTGTGAGCTCTTTTTAAAAAATTACATAAAGGAGATTCACTTGAAATCTATTTGGGAAATAACCACTTGTTTTAGGTAAATCATACCTTGTTACAGTTTTTTTTTTTAAGCAAATGGCTTAGATAACAATAAGTGATTTAGACTTTCATTGTAAGAGTCTAAGGAATCATCCATAAAGTTAATGCTATGTATAACACACACACACACACACACACACACACACACACACACACACACACACCATGATGTGGTAGATACGGTGATGGGCTTGATTGTGACAATGATTTTCATTTTATCTATGTGTCAGAATTTCATAGTAATTTACATGCACAACTATGGCAGTCATCTCTTGGTAAGGTTGGAGGGAGGTAACATCATATAAATAAGGCCACTTCTACATAGTATGACATTCTGTACATGTGTATAAGTTGGTGTCAAAATTTTAGTCTTTTCATGTATCAATAAAAGGCATGCCCATATTCATGTTGTTGCATGCATATGTAGTGGCCAGGTGTCTTCTGCAATCACTTTCTACTGACCCTGAACCTAGAGCTCATCCATTCAGCTACACTAGCTGTCTAGCAAGCTCCAGGAATCCATCTGTCTCCATGCCCTTAAGCTGGGGTTACAAATGTGTACTGCTATGCCTACCTTTTATGTGGCCACTGGAGAACCAATTTCAGGTCTTACAATGGTGCAACAGGCAGTTTGCTAACTGGGCCATCTCCTCAGCTCCATTTTTAGTCTTTGAAAAGATAACTTTCCTCACTGCAAGCAGCTGCACTTTCATATTTGTCTCTTTTCTTCTTAGGATGGGCAACCGGATCCATGTTTATCCAAATGGATCCTTAGTTGTTGGATCAGTGACAGAAAAAGATGGTGGTGACTACTTGTGTGTGGCAAGAAACAAACTGGGGGATGATCTGACCCTGATGCGCGTCCGCCTAAGACTGACACCTGCCAAAATTGAGCACAAGCAGCATTTTAAGAAACAAGTGCTCCATGGGAAAGACTTCCAGGTTGACTGCAAGGCTTCTGGATCCCCTGTGCCTGAGGTATCCTGGAGTTTGCCTGATGGGACAATGATCAACAATGCCATACAAGCCGATGATAGTGGTCACAGGACCAAGAGGTACACTCTTTTCCACAATGGAACCTTGTATTTCAACAAAGTTGGAATTGCGGAGGAAGGAGATTATGTTTGCTATGCCCAGAACACCTTAGGGAAAGATGAAATGAAAGTCCACCTAACAGTTATAACAGCCACCCCAAGGATAAGGCAAGACTACAAGACAAACATGAGGATCAAGGTTGGAGACACAGCTGTCCTTGACTGTGAGGTCATTGGGGAACCCAAGCCAAGTATATTTTGGTTGCTGCCTTCCAATGATGTCATTTCATTCTCAAACGACAGGTACATATTTCATGCCAATGGAACTCTGTCCATTAATAAAGTGAAACTGCTTGACTCCGGGAAGTATGTGTGTGTAGCTCGGAATCCTAGTGGGGATGACACTAAAATGTACAAACTGGATATTGTCTCTAAACCTCCACTAATCAATGGTCTGTACACAAACAAAACTGTTCTTAAAGCTACAGCTGTTCAGCACTCCAAAAAACACTTTGACTGCAGAGCAGATGGGATCCCACCTCCCCAGATTGTGTGGATTATGCCGGGCAACATTTTCCTCACTGCTCCCTACTATGGAAGCCGAATCACAGTCCATAAGAATGGCACCTTGGAAATTAGGAACATCAGGCTTTCTGACTCGGCTGATTTCATCTGTGTGGCTCGGAATGAAGGAGGAGAGAGTGTGTTGGTGGTGCAGTTAGAAGTACTGGAAATGCTGAGAAGACCAACATTCAGAAATCCATTCAACGAAAAAGTAATTGCTCAGGTTGGCAAGTCCACAGCACTGAACTGCTCTGTGGATGGGAACCCACCACCTGAAATAATCTGGATTTTACCTGATGGCACCCAGTTTTCTAATAGACTGCAACATTCCCCAGATCTGATAGCAAGCAATGGTTCTCTCATCATTTTTAAAACAACTCGGAACAAGACAGGAAAGTATCGCTGTGCGGCTAGAAATATAGTTGGCTATATCGAGAAACTAATCATCTTGGAAATCGGGCAGAAGCCTGTGATTCTGACACATGCACTAGGGTTGGTAAAAAGTGCCAGTGGGGAATCTCTATCACTGCATTGCGTGTCTGATGGAATCCCTAAGCCAAGTGTCAAATGGACTACACCAAGTGGTCATGTAATAGACAGTCCCCACGCTAATGGCAAATACACACTGCATGAAAATGGCACATTGGTCATCAGAGAAACAACAGTTTATGACAGGGGAAATTATATCTGTAAGGCTCAGAACAGTGTTGGCCAGGCAGCAGTTAGTGTCCCGGTGATGATTGTGGCCTACCCTCCCAGAATTATAAACTACCCACCCAGGAGCATGCTCAGGAGGACAGGAGAAGCATTGCAGCTCCACTGTGTGGCCCTGGGAGTCCCCAAGCCAGAGATTACCTGGGAGAGGCCAGGACACTTACTGCTCTCAAAGGCAAGAGAAAGGAAAACCCTCAGAGGTGAGCTGCTTTACCCACAAGGCACCCTGGTCATTCAGGATCTCCAAACCTCAGATTCAGGAGTCTATAAATGCAAAGCACAGAACCTACTCGGCATTGATTACGCAACAACTTATGTTCAAATAATCTGACAGAAAATAAAACTAAAAGTGAAGAGAGTCAACATCTGAAGGGTTTATTTTTTCTTTTTTGGAAGAAGTTTAATCAAAGGCAGCCATAGGCATGGAAATGAATCTGAATACATTTACAGCTTCAAATTTACAATGGACATGCAAAAGAGACTTGTAAATGAATGCTTTATGAACTGATGCCGAGTTTCTATGGATTTCAACGCGAACTCTTAACTTAAGGCACTTTGATTTTTGCCAACAAATAACAGACATTAAGAGAAAACGATTCACTACAAAATAACAAATTGCTAATGCACCTGAATTTTCAGTAAAGAGACCTTTCTCTCACTATCAGTTGCCAGCTGCCTAGTGTCCATCTTCTACCAATGTTACAAACATTGCACTCAGAAAGGAGACAATGGAAAAGATTCAGTTTGCAGTCTATGTAAATCTTAATGTACAAATATTTTGTCACTGGTTTATAAACATTTTGATAAAACCTACAGAAAACAAGCACTGAAATGTTTTGATTATGCTTTAGTTTACCATTTGTTCACACTGAAAATTTTCATTGTTTTAATACCCGCATTGACAAACAAACAAAACAAAACAAATGCAGGCGCAGCTTTTCTACATGTAAAAAGCAGCAACATGCTCACACACAAGGAAATGTGAAAAGGGTGCTTCACATCTGTCCACACTGCTGTCACCCTGAAAAGGAAGGCTTTACAAGTACAATGGGACTTCTTTATAACTTTAAAACCTAGCTAAGGCACCCAATGTTTGGAGCCATTGATAAGAAAGATTTTTTTTCTAAGGAGGAATTGCTCCTTTTTTAAAAGTCTAGACCTCTTACATGTAATGACGTTTCACCGTATTTAAAATCTGAATGCTGTTTTTGTTTTTGTTTTATAATTCACTGTACTTACAAGTTTAATTCAACCAGAATATATATGGGGTATCATATAATTTACCTCTTTTAGTCTAAAGTCTGGGATTTTTTTTAGTATAATTTCTGACTTCTGTCCAAATATTCATCAATTTATGAATTTGTAGGAGCCTTGTAAATGATTAACAAAAAAAGCAGGTCTTGTTCAGTTAGCTTAGAACACTAAAGCCAAGAGCTTTGGTAGCTTGTGCCAATCATTTGAGACTTAACTCCATTGTGTCTTCACCATGCCTACTTTCTCTTGGCCCCTACCTCAGTCATGAGCTGATTGCTGTTACCATTGGTACTTTATGGCTGCCATAGGTTAAATGATACCCACCTCTACTTCTGGATGAGGAAGGGTAAATAAAACAAGAAATGCAACCCTGAAAAGAATCAGTCTACAATATGCCACATATATTAAAGGAATCTTATAGCCAGGAATTATGGTAAGTATACCCAATTCCATTATATTTCAAGGTCTGATCTTTCTGAGAGTTGGGCTTTCCATCTTATGACAACTTCCTATCTGCAGCCCACCCGCAAGAAAATGATAGTTTTGCAATAGAGTTTTCCCTAATGGCTATTTGAATACCAACCAGATGTACTTGCTATGAAAGAAAAAAGGTATCAGTGTGCCAGATTAAGTGGTAGTAAATATGACAACTAAATTTAAGGTACCAGTTGCTTTCCTTATAAAGCACATGGGGAAACAGCTCTAGGTTTTTTCCTCATCTCCCATAGCAACTCATAACTAGAGGGCCTTAGTGTGGCTTACCTTCCTTATTTCAACAAGCAAAACAAACAGCAACAAAGGTATAACCATTGCCTTAATGTGCAAACTGATTAATAAATTAACTTCTGCAAAGTATAAAGTGCACACAAATGCTATGCAATTATAACACTCCTGCTGCTGTTTGTAATATTGAGCTACAAAAATATATGGTTCAAACTTAAACTGGAATTTTAATTATCAATAATCATTGGATAAAGACCAGAAAGGGTATGACTCACTCACTAGGCACAACATTCAACCTTCGGTGGTTTTGCCAATGCAGTCATGTGGTATATTACATTGAAGGAAAAATAGCTTTGTGAACTGTGAGAATGACTCTGGAGCAGAGGGCAAAGCTGACATGTGAGACCACTGAAATGTACTGCATTGTCTGAAAGCAGATAGAATGTTCACTTAGTGGAAAGAATGGTCTTTAATGTTTGGCAAAGTCTTTTCCAGCCCAGAGTAAACACAAAACAAGCAGGCTGGAGGGATATATTTCACAGTGTACAAAGCAGTTCACATGGATGTTGCCATGGCAAAGTAAGCAAATGTGTATTTGAGGTCATTTGAATGAGTCAAACTTTGCAATGAGTAACTTGCCTAGGAAGATATAAACTATTTATATAATGATCTGTAAAAGAAATGGTCTAAAGTTGTACCAGCTACATTTTAAAAAGTAGTTCTACATGGTTTGCTCTTCATAGACAATCTATTCACAGTATGCTTGACTACACTACATGTGAAACCTTATGGCAAAAAGAAAATGAACCCAACAAAGAACATGGGAAGATCCCTACATATGTCTTAAAATGCCCTGCAATTTTCACATTCAAAATTTTATGCATCTAATTCTAAAAAAATATTATATGGAATACTCTTAAGTTACACAAACTGATAATAATTTACTGTATTTTTTACTTTAATAGGAGCAAATTACCACATACTTGAACAAAGTTAAAATAGTTACTATTTCTTTATAATAAATTTGATGTATAATTTACTTGTGCTTTTTGCACCAGTTATAAATACAGTATAAGCAATACACAACCAAGACGGACACCGACATTAATAATTAAATTCAATATAGCAAATACTTACCATACAAAATTAACAATAAGTACACCTTGGATGAGTACCAGAGTCTTCTGGACTGTGGAGCCAGACTCTCTGGAAACCGTGTCAAGTCTAAGCACAGTAGAATCTAAGGCCAGCTGTGAGACTTGTTTTATTTTTTTTTTCTCAAGTTGGCATGAGGTTCTGAAGAACCAAAAACTGGACAGTTATTTTCACCAAAACTGGCAGTAAGTAAATGAATTGATTCCACCGTGGCTCTTCTGGCCTCCAGCAGTTATATGTTGTACCTTCATGAAAAATCGGGTGAAAGATCTTGCCACTGGAAACAAAGTTGAGTGCAGTCACTTCTAAGAGTTTTCCGCACATCTCAGGGTGGTTCTTGTAGAAGCCCTGAAGAAGCAGAAGTACTAAGCAACAATCTGTTTCAGCACCTTTGGACCACAACAAAAGCAAAGCAAAGTCCTTCATAAATGTGAACCAAGTTTATAAAGTGCTTATGAAATGATCAACATTTCAAATTAGAATGATGTAAATAAATGTTCACCCCACCCTCATAGGTGAGGGAAAAGTGAATGTGTCATACTCCTGTGAGAACCGCCACATCTTTCAAAGCAGTAGTTTGGCCAACCACAGGTTAAAAAACAATCATTAATTAATACATAAATATTTAAACCTACCATGATTCATTCTTTATGTAAATATGAGATAAAAAAGCACCAGTTTCAAAAGGTCTGCTACCACACTATCTGGAGTAGGCCTGCATGATCCACATTTTAATACCTACTGTGAATATGATAAAACCTAACCACAACTTCGTTACTTATTTAAATACCTCTGCGTGAAATGTAGCATAAAATAGGGAAACATAAATAACTCAAAGACAAAAGGAGACTTCTTATGATGACTACTAAATTTGATTTTCTGTTTTTCAGTGCAAACATAAACTTCACATCTTCTCTTTCAGATTCAAAAGTGTGAAGGATGCGCACAGGGAGTCACTCCTTGCTGTGGCTGGTTACCTAGTAGAAAAGCAAAGTTAATAGTTACAGGTGCAAACTTGTGCTGAAGATAACACTTCTCTTGGGGACAGCCTCCAGTTATGGGGCTACAGACAAAATGGCTAGACCCTGAGCCAATAATCACAAAGTGTGACCAAATGTATTCTGTACAGGGGCCAGCTTCATGTGAGAGTCTCACACCTGCCAACACAATGCCTTGGGATTAGAGACACTGACTCATCAAAAGTGTCCGCTGCGTTCCAGCATGTAGTAGACAGCAGAGCAAGCAGACATACTCTTCAGACCAGTGAGCCACACACAACTCCTCAGTACTGACTTTAAATACTATAAAGCCAATCTCTATCTTCAGACTGTATTCTCGGCAAGAATTTTGGCTCTAACATCTCACTATTTTATTGTTTTAATCACAGATTATTTAATAGAGCATACCTACTAAGCAACAGGTAGGAAATGTGATTTTACTTTATTTAACCAAAATTAAGCAAGGTTATAAAAAAAAATACATGTACTTCAGCTTTGGAGATTAAAAAATTCTCATGTATGCCAGACAGAAGAAAGGGAGGAGGGAAGGTTATTTAATTCTATTTTAAGTAGAAACATACTTTAAAATGGTACTCATGAGTTTATCTAACTACTCTTTATCAACAACAACAAAAAAAAAATCAGGAGTCAGATATTGGGTTGAGAACCTGAATCATCAGAGAAGCAGAAGAAGCCACCAGTGACCTCCTCTCCCGTTCTTCAATTCAAAAGGGCTGTGATCTCTTTCTGCCCCGCCTTACTACTTCCTGTCTCCCATCTGTCTACAGTCCTCCAAAACCTCTATGGTTAATTCTCATCAGTTAGTGGCTAGCTCTGCCCTCTGACTCAAAGCAAACCTTATTGTCAGAATGCAATTAAAATAGCACTCAACATGATACAGAGAACACAGCGTGGTTTCTGAGGAGTTACCACTGTGTCAGGCTTGTGGCTGCTGTTTCTCTCCCAGTTTTCCCCCAGCTCCATGTGAGGCAGATACTTACTAGAAAGTTGCTTCTGGAGCTGTCGTACCAGGGCGGCTGTCTGTTGCTGTTGCTGGGTCTGCTGCAAGCCTTGCCTGGGGAACTGCAATTGCAACAAGGGGAAGGCTGAATCAGCTACCATGCTACACAAGGCACAGGCTGCACCTTGGGTTGTCTAATCCACTTTCACATGCTTAAGAGAAAAGGCTCATGCCCAGTGTGGAGAATTTGTCTCTGTCTACAGTACACTCAATATACAATTGGTAAGCAGTGCCCTTCATGTGGGCATTTCTTTTTTGAGTCTCGAAGTTGACACTACAGAGGTAGCCTACTCATTCAAAGACCACTGTCATCTCACGCTTCACCAGCAGGAGGCATATCCTAACAGCCTGAGTCTCTCTAGTTGGCAAATTGAAAGCTCTCTGGTGTGGAGATCTGTCCAATGCTAAGAGACTGCATGGACAGAGCAGAACCTGGGAGGCAGAGCATGCGCTAGTATAGCCTTATCTGGGCCATGACCTCCACCTGACAGCCAGGGCAGGGTGAGTAGAGCTAGACAACAAGAGTCCCAACTTTAGACTTTAAGGGGTTTCTCCTAGTGCTGAGTGAGGGAAGACCAGAAGTACAATACAAGGAACTCACACTGCAGTTCTTTCCATCAAGCTCACATGAGAAACTGTGGCTGATGTTCAAGGGTGGAGGGGGACTGATGAGTATTTGGTAGAAGAAAACATTTTTTTTTTATTATTATTATTACAATCACCAGCCGTACTGTGTTATTCCTTAACTACAAATGTCAGACAGGTGCTCTTTCCTGTTTTTCCTTCTGTCTTCCTTGGCTGCCTTCTTGCTGCCTGGAAACAATCGGGATGCTCTGAAACAAGCCTCCCTTAGTCATGCACAGTACTGGTCCATTCCCATTTACCTCAGTCTGCGCTGTTTGCTCATCTACCTGTATAGAATGCCCTGAGCAGGCTGGCACAGCACCCAAGAGATGGAAGGGTAGGAGCAGAACCAGGCTAGGAAGGAGCACAGTAAAGCTCTGCTTTATTTTGCCAGCCTTTTCCACAGTAGCTCTCTGCTGGCCAAATGTATCCAAGGCAGGAAGGCCCAGGCTCTTCTATCAGCTAACCGGGCTCTCTCCATCTCCACTCTTGTGCCTTCTGGAAGCTTAGAGGCCTGATATGCCTGTAACACGTTTGAACTGCTTTTCCTCAATCTGCCTCATATCTCTGAGTTGTTTAAAAGACCTTTCTCAATATGAATACAACATGATTCTGTCTTCTTTGGAGATCCTTGGTATGACCGAAAGTAGCCTAGGATTATTAGCAGTGTGGGAAATAAAAATTCAGAACACATAGTTAAATGCTGATTTTAGGTAAGCAATGAATAATTTTTACTTCACTAATATTTAATATTTCATGTGACAAAACTGCATTGAGTCCAAGTAGCCCAATAGATTGGAGATAACACTTTTGCTAATTGTCTGAAATTCAAATTTAATTGAAAGTTCTAATTTATTAGGCATTGTCAAGCTGACTCTCTCATGTATATGACACCAAAAGCTGGTAAGCCATATCCAATACTAGTGTTATATTTCCCCCACCATCTCCACATACAGCTTTGGGAAAACAGGGTAAAAAGCATTCCTTAATAGGGGAAAGTCGTATGGTAAGTTTTTTTTTGTTGTTGTTGTTTTTTGTTTTTTTAATTCAACTCTTTCTATACTTTTGCAGAACCCTACTTAACAGTTCTTTCTACATGCCAGGCATTATAACTATACTAGGCATTATAAGCACATATTGCCATACTTAATTCTGATGTAGGGTTGACTATTCTAAATTTGTCCAAAATGCTTGGAACAGGTTCTCTGGAATTCAGTGTGTGGCAACGGTTAGCTCTCACCATGCCATGTAGGGCTGGGTTTACCCTCACACACAACCCTCACCCCCACTGCACTTCTGAAGTCAAGCACCCACATGGTTGCTTTATATAGGACACATGGATTTCTGCTCTTGTCAGCTTTGGCTGATTACTCTTGCATTTTCAGGGGTATTTGAATTTGGGCAATGAATACAAAGGACTATAAACCTTTACTACTAATATTCTCGTGATACAGATGTGAGTTGTGTCATTGGGATTCTGAATCCCAAGGACATTCTGAAAATCATCTCAATTTCTCTGAATAGAACAAAAGATTTTCTTGAAGAAAACCAATATAACGCTTTTGCCTGTGGCTGCTGTCAAATTTACAGTAATTACTAACTAATGCTGCTATCATGTATATTTTTGAAAGGTAAAATGCAATACAATAGGACCCTCACCTAAGGACCATTGTATTTCAGGTCATCCGATTAAGACAACATAAAATGAAAAAAAAAATTTTAGTAGCATGGTTTGAATATTATTTTCTTAAATGTTGAAAGCAGCTTTAAAGAAAAGATGGGCTGTATCTGTCAAGTGTAGTCAAAAGTAATTTAATCATAACATACCTTAAAAAGATTGTAAGTCAATAACTTCAATTATGACAAGATTGAGATACCAGACATACTTCGCCAGAAAGGGCAGAGTCTGCTGTTAGTTGTCCTTCTTTCACAGAAGACAAATGACACAAGCATGGACTCTAAGTTGTCAGCACACTTAACTGAGGGGTGTGGGCGTTTCTTAACATTTCATCTCATTTCACAGAAAAGTTTCCTGATGACAGCTTAGAGAGGGGACGATTTCTGTCCTAAGGCAGTATTGACCTTAAAAACACTTTATTGCAGTGATCAACTTGGCCAAGGGTGTTGGTAGTCACCGTCTCCCATGCCCCAACTGATGGCACCAACTAAAGGAGACCAACAAAGGTAATAGTCAAAAGGTAACAGATCAAACATTGCCTTTCAAGATCACTTACATTTAAGCTTTCCACCATAGGCTCCCCAAATTTTTCCATCTTTTGATCTCTGTTAAGGCTTCAACTATATAATTCAAGATTAAAAAAAAAAAAGCTACAGTCCTAAACCCCAGGACCTCGGATTGTGACCTCACTTGGAGAGAGAGCCTTTCCAGAGGGAACCAAGTCCAACTGAGCTCTGTTATAATGGAATCTAATACATGAATGGTATTCTCATATAAAGGGACATGTTGGCATACTGGTGCAAACAGAGGGAATGCCACTTGAAGGTGAAGCAGAGCCTCGACACTAGACAGCTAGTGCACTGAGAGGCTGGAGCAGAAGAGTGGCATAGGCTCTCCCACCAACCCGCAGAAGGAACCAACATTGCTGACTCCTGATCTTTCACTTCTGGTTCTCAGGAACAGGGAGGAAAAACATTCCCATTTTTAAGCTACCTAAGTTTATGTAGTTTGTACGACAGTCCTAGCAAATCAAAACAACCTCTGACACTCTTCAACTAAAAATATAAAGCCACCAGATGTTACTTGCCATGTCAAACACTTTCCTTCAGCCATTTCCTAGGATTCTCTGTCCCCTGGTGGCAAAGCACACTCGGCACTTCCATGGCATGCTCCCTAACACCTGACAGGGTGCTGGCCTCTACTGAATACACCAAATAAGAACTTACTGAATTCCACTGTAACCATCGGCCAACAGGGAGCAGCAGGGCAAGTCACCAGGAGGGTGGTAACTGCAACATACTCCTCCCTTCATGCAGCATCAACCAGAACCCCAGAGGAGTCCGAGCTCACCTCTCCTCAGCAGCCAGCTCACCACCCTCTTCTCCAAAGACAGGAACTGAATGGGAGAGCAGGCTTGAGACAAGAGTTGGATCTGCTAGAGATGTTTATTATGAATAGAATCCAAGGCGCTTAAAAATAGTGAATCTCAGTGAAAGTAATCAAAAGGGAAATATGAATTTTTTTCCTTTAAATTGCTGAGGCCTTGTGTCCTTGTTATTGACACACACAAGTAGTTAAAAATATTTTTACATTTGTTTTCTATTATGAGGCAACCAAAAGGAGGTATAGAATACATACCAAAATACCTTTAACAGTACTATTTTTGAAATTGGCAACAGTCACAGTCCAAATTTTTAACAGCCGAGGAATGGTTCAGCAACTGAAAAACACAACTACATCATCATAATAACTTAAAAGTATGTGTATATCCAGGTGTAGTAGCACATACTTTCAATCCCGGTGCTTCAGAGGCGGAGGCAGGCATCTCTGTTAGTGAGAGGCCAGTCTGAGCTAGTGAAATCCAGGACAGCCAGAACTACAGAGTGGGACTCTGTCTCAAAAGGAGAGGGGGGTTGTTGGTGGTAAAGAGAAGGCTCAGTTGTTAAAGGCTAGGCTCACAACTAATAAATAAATAAATAGCACAGGTCCATAAGTGTACTGTATAAAGTATACCTAAGAAAGAGTTATGATGTGAACACTCCTATAATCCTACTCTTTCTAATGCTGAAATTGAACTTTGATCTGAACATGTTAAGTTTCCTTGCCCATCCTAAGGCTCTCTCTCTCTCTCTCTCTCTCTCTCTCTCTCTCTCTCTCTCTCTCCCTCTCCCCCACACACACACACACACACACACACACACACACACACACACCATTTGCTCCCTGTGCTATAGCTCCTGCTTGGATTAATTATGAGAGATTGATCTCTATTGAAACAATACTGTGTTTATTTAATTTAAAGCATTCTGCCAAATAGGAAAAAAAATAAATACCCACTATATATCTCCACTAAATTTACTATTAACAAAGAATTTTATTTCTCTTTAATTACTTTCTCGTGAGCATAATGAGGAAAAATGTCATCTTCCATGGTTTGAATTACCTGCTCAGTCCTTGGGAAAATAGCATGCCGAAGCTAATGGGTCAAACACAATCTATATCATTAAAAATCACCAGTACTGCCTTAGAAATCTTTATTAAATCTGCATGTTCCTTACACATTATAACTCAGTTAAATATTTACAGAACTGTGATTTGGGTATAAAAATGTCAGTTCCCTTTGATGAGCTAAACCTCAGCACTAGCACTGGGATGTCTTCAATGACTTCGTGTAACTCTACTGCTGCTTTAAACTATAACTGGGAGGCTAAAAGAAAATTTCCTTCCAGACCTATAAATATGGTTTAGTAACAGAATTAAGTTTCTTTGATTACCTTATACAAAATAACTTCTATAGCTAAGGCATTCGGTACTGCCATCCATCAGGAATTCTGCAGCACATGGTATGAACAGAGCTAATATTACACCTTCAACAACTCTTTTTATATTTCTCAAATGTGGTTTGAACAAGAATGGTCTCCATAGGCTGGTATATTTGAATGACTGATTCCTAGTTGGTGGACTATTTATGAAGAACTAGGAGGGGTGGCCTTTTGGGAGGAGATATGTTACTGGGCTTTGAGATTTCAAAAGCCCATGACAGACCCAGTCTTGTGCTCTCTTTCTGCCTCTGCCCTGCAGATCAGGTGTTAGCACTCAGCTACTGTTCTAGCACCATGCCTGCTTGCTGGCTGCATGCCATCTCACCGTGATGGTCATAGACTCAGGCTCAGAAACTGTTCCCAAGTCCCTAACAAAATGCTTTGTTTTATGTTGCCTTCATTATGGTGTCACGTCACAGCAATAGAAAAGTAACCAAAACATAAGTTTTCACATCTATATATTAACTGAACTAAGATTTAGTAATGGGTAGAAGAGAATCTCTCTTTTGGAAAAAAAAAATGCAGAGCATTCAGTGGAGGAAAGCCTTACCAGTGAGACAGGACATTTTCTATAATAAACAGTAAAGAATCATTTCATATATATGTAAAGATTATCTTACTTAGGTTTTTTTGTAACATTCTTAGAGAGAATGTAGAGGGCAGAGGTTAACATCATTGTTATCCTCTATCACGTTTCCTCCTGTATTTTTGTATAGGCACTCTCAGTGAACCTAGAGCTTGTCAATGGCTAGGCTGATGGGCCAGTGAGCTCTGGCAATCCTGCTGTCTCCACTTGCCCAGTGCTGGAGTTCTAGGCACATACCGCCATGCCTAGCTTTTTGCACGTAGGTGCCGGAAATCTGAAGTCAGGTTCTTGTGCTTTTATGCCAAGGACTTCTCCAAATGAGCCATCTCCTCAGCTCCTAAAGCCATTGCTCTTTAAAGTAACAATGACACACCTCAGGATGGCAGGTATATATTTGTGTGACTGGGTGTTTAAAGTTTCATTGTAAGAAAAAACATAGATTAAATATAAGTAACTATAGGTGATTTAAATATAAGAATTTTATTATTTGTGAGGAACACAGCATGCATATTTCATTTAATTACATATCTGAATCAAAAGTTTAAAATATGCAATAATTATCATATATTCAATAATAATTGTAGTTGTAAATTTAAAGTTTGTGTTTCTTTTAAAATGGTACTGTACAATCATTTTCTCATTAGCAATTACTAGCTATACAAGTTTCCATTATCAAATTATCGGGTCCCTTACATTAATATTAAAGGATTCATTTCCATCATAAATCACTAGAAAGGCATAATTCTGTGATAGTTACTTCCATCAGTATCACACATAATACTGCTAGTAACACAAACACCACAGCCTCAGAGTCTCTGTTTTACATTAGGATGAAGATTTAGGATTCTCCCACTCAGCATCACATGTTCCAAATTCTCAACATGAGCTTTTTTCTGTCAAAACACCTTTGGAATGTGCTGTGTATAGAAAGAAAACAGTGATACTACCCTTACGTTTTCTTTGCCTGGCATAACAACCTACTCAACAGAGAGAACGGATTTGATTGTTTTATAGACTTGGGGATCAAACCCAGAGTCTTATGCATGCTGGTCAAGTGCCCCCTGCTACTGAGCTTCATCTTCAGCCTTCAGAAAGATTTTTAAATCAGCAAATCTCATCTAACTGATGCTATATTACAATAAATACTCAATGAAGTTGGACGAAGAACTTAAACGACTCCTAGTAGTGGCAAATTTCCTAAATCAAAGGAGTCAAATGCTAGATTTCACTTTTAATCTATGCTTTCTGGGGATGGAGAGATGGCTCAGCATTAAGAGTCAACACTGCTCTCCCACATGACCTGAGTTCAGCTCTTAGCACCCAGGTCACTTCAGGCAGCTCACAACTGCCTTTATCTCCAGTTCTGATGCCTTCTCTGGTCTCTCTACACTCTATACTCACAAGCACAACCCCACACTCAGACACACAAATATACATACAATTAAAACAAATAAAAATCTTTTAAGATGGACAAGCAACAAAGGGCAAGTTCTTCCTTTGAGTAGAATACCATCAATAAAAACAAACAACAACATTTGTAAGTAAGCATTTTTCTCCTACAACAGAAATGGAAAAAGACAGTTAGCCACTGTCAACACTGGTGGGTGAGTGTCTAACAGGCAGTAGGACAGATCGGGTCAAACCAGTCCCATACATTACACATCACTTAAAAAGGAGCCGTTGGTAACTTTATGGTGGGAAACTCAGACACCACTTCCACAGTGACTATAAATACTCTTGTGATATACTGGTGGGGTAAGGGCAGCAGCCCTTCAATACAGAAACGGGGTGATGTCAAGATTAAGAAGTAAATCAGGCTGAGCAACATTTAAAAAATAAATAACTACCCCATCATCACTAAGACAAAGTGTGGGGCACTTTAGAATTGTTAAGGGAGACATGGAAGTTAAATATTGTATGATGAAGCAGAGCCAGGAAAACACATTTATACATTATAATATCACATCGGTATTCAACTTCCTGTCTTCAGAAATCATAACCAGGGAGTTTCATGTCTGTGGATTTGCTTGCTTTGCAGTGCTGAGGATCCAACCCAGGCTTCACTCACGAGAGGCAAGCACTCTGCTAACTGAACTACATCCCTACCCATCTTGCTCTAGGGGGAAAAACTATATTGAAATACTTAGAATATTTAGCATCAAAGAGGCACATGGCTATATCATATGTGGAGATCAGGAAAAATTTAAGCTGGAACTAAAGGACGAGAGTGAATCATAAAGCAAACGTGGCAAAAGGCACTTAGTGAGCACAGATAAAGGATTTAGGGAGATTCTCTGTACTGTTCTTAAAACTTTTCTGTGGGTTTGAAGTGATGTCAAAAACAAGTTAGAACTTACTTCTGGGTGGAACGCTGGGCCTTTGAGCAGTATTCTATCTGAAAGTCTGTTTTTTGTTTTTTTTTTTTTTTTTAAAGTATTTCTAAAAAGTCAGCTTTATGCTCCTGATGACAAAGAGGCAAGTTTCACACTGCCTCTACTTAAAACAAACAAAAAAATATGTTGAAGTAGATTGCAATAAATGTCATAAATTCATAAAACAAGAGTAATCAAAACTGGAAAGCCTAGAGCCTTTGTAGAAGGAATTGAAAAATGGGACTCAGCTGGCCAAAGAAGCTTGTGTTATACACTAGGGGACTTCCTCCTTGGCTGACATCACAGTAGAATCCTGCTTGGGTCAAGGCTAAACCATAATTCTATGGACCCTCTGTAATGTGCTGCCATGGCTCCAGGCTACTTTCCTTCAAGTCAGATTTGTGAAGCTGTTTTTCAAATCCCCATGGTGACAATCTCCTACACTGGTGCTTCCCAGTGGCCATGAGGACAACAACCTACAAGCCTCAGGTAAAACAGAACAAGCCATTGAAAATCATTGAAGCTTTCAAAATGGCTGTATTGTATACATGTTCCCAAATTCTATTTGAAAAGTTAAAGAAGTGTACTGTAGATTACAAACAACATGCAAATTCTTGCAGAAAATGCTAACTGGACAAAAACAGTTTTTGTTTAATTATTAAGGCCATATTTTACAAGGGACTTTCATGCTCTCTAAGAATGTTACAAAAAACCTAAGTAAGATAATCTTTACATATATATGAAATGATTCTTTACTGTTTATAGAAAATGTCCTGTCTCACTGGTAAGGCTTTCATCCACTGAATGCTCTGCATTTTTTTTCCAAAAAGGAAAATGGTGTTATTCACTAAAGGAAACTTTTTATTGTACATTGAAATGTTTATTAGTGTATATTAATTATTTATTAAAAAACAAATAACAAATATGCCAACTACTATCCCAACAAAACCCTGATAGAGTCATAGGAGAACTGTCTGGGTATATTCAGACTATTTCACTCTTAAAATTTCATGATTATGGACAATGCATCTACATTAAAGGAAAAACCCATATCCTGGTTCCAAAACACCAGGCCTTACCAAAGGCTGCTGGGGCTGCATTGCTTGGAGACCAAGGGTCTGATTCTGGGGCTGTGAGGGCTGCTGGGGCTGGGGGGCCTGCTGGGGCTGCTGCATCTAGAAAGAAAGAAAGAAAAAGATTATGGTTGACCCTTGAAATTGTGGGCTAAGACACATCTGAATAGCGTTTACTGATATACATTCTTATCTATTCCATTGCAGCACAATGATGGGGACATATTCTCCAAAATGTGGCATAGGTGATTCTTGCATTGTCTGAACACTGTATCGTGTACTTAGAAAAACATGGGTGGTGTAGCCAACCACACTCCTGGGCTGTATTACCAGGGCCACAATTTACAAAATGAAATAGTACTGAAGTAGGCACAGGATAAATGGTGCAATTTAGAGACATGGAAAACACAAGATGCAAAAGGCTGCTACTGCTAAAACACAGCATACTGCTTTAGCATAAACTGTTTCCCTCTAGTGCTCATCATTCAACCCAGGTGGCCTCATGCATCCTAGGCAAGTGCTCTACTGCTGAGACAAACCTCTAATAATGCAAGGTATTTTAACAGGTGGGGTTACACTCCAAAATAACAATATAGAGTACAGGGAAAAAGCAGACACATGGTGGGGAGATGGGTGTTTTCTAGTATGAAGCACTTCACCTTAACTACTGTGATGTTTTTAAATAATTGGCAGCGGGATAACATTTCTTTATGCCAGAAATATCCAAACACATTTGCAGTGTGCTGTGATGATGCTATGATGTTAATGAAGGCTATGATGTCATGAGGTAAAGGCAGTTTTTTTTTTCAGTTGCACTAAAATCTGAAGGTATCACTGTCACATCGGTCACTGACAGAAATGTCATTATGTGAAGCGAAGCAAAACTGTAACCTTTCATCTTCCATCTTTATTTTGCCAAAGCTTGCTCTTCCTTCAAGTGTAAGATACGAATGTGTTCCTCCAGGAAGTCTCCTCAGACTACCCCAGACTCAAATTCTCTTCCTTTGGCAGCCAGTGCTCACTGTCCAGGGACATTCTGTGCACTTACTGTTGTAGCTTCTTTCACATCCTCTGCCTGGCCACCCCCAAGCTACCTGTCTCACACTGCCAAGTGGCACAAGCACCATGCAGTAATTATCTTCTCGATGATGTTTGGGGGACCCCTGCAGAGTCCATTTTTATTTTTTATAGGATATAAACTAGCCCATATAAATCCTGAGATAAATTACCACATGAAATTAGAAAACCTCTCCATACTAAGCTGGCATGAATATACAGCTCTTGGAAAACACTTCTAAGTTACAGAAGAAACAATGTATGCACCAGGTAGGAAGGCAAAATATATATTTTCTCTCAGTGGCCTTTAATTACTCCATCCAAATAATCCATTCTGATATCCCGACGAGATTTTCACTATATGCATTTTTCCAATTTTGTCTACATATTATTCCCCAAATTACTTGACTTTTTAAAGAGTGAAAACAATAAAGAGCTACTCCCAGATCTGCAATGCCTGTAGACTTGGCATCCTAGCAGAGGCCCAGGCAGAGTGAGTCTCCACATAAACAATGCAGGTAGAACTAGAAGCACTGCAAATATGAAGGCACAATTCATTTGGTTCTCTGCAAAAACCTTTCAAGGAAGATGAACTTCTCAATTACTGACTTTTTTCTTTATGCCAACAGCCAATCATAAAAAGAGGAACAAATGTCATTCAGACAAAGGAACAAATCACCTTCATTTCTTTGTCTCCAGGGGAGATGATGTTGATAAGAAATATTACCAGGCATACTAACAGGGAAAAAGGTACATGTTACCTAGTCAGGAGATGACTCATTTGCAACCTTGAAAATACCCTTGGAAGGCAGAGAGTGGTAAGTAAGCCAACTCAGCGAGGAACCTTGCTGAGTTGGAAGTAATAAATCTTAAAACAGAGACATTCAAATAGCTGTCCTGAAAAAATATCGCCAAACTTGTAGAAAGGTGGCTTAAGAACATACCATTCTCTGTTTAATAGTTATCTTAATAAAAATACTGGGAATAATATCAAACCAGTGCTTTACTTGAATTTTTTTTATTGAATTCTCGATGCACAGGTAAATAATCTTTCCATTTTACTAATGGTAAAAGTCAAGAGTAGGTTTTTTGTTTTTGGGTTTTTTTTCCACCTTGGCAATAGCATCTATACAATGAATATACTGGTAGGCTACACTCATCCAAATCAGTTATCATATACTATCAATAATGTATCATAACTTTTAAAATATTATATCCAAAATGAGGATGTGATAATGGCTACCTTACAAATTGGAACTGAGTTCTAGAGGGCCTGTCTTGACTTCTTGTTATTTTTAGGTACCATCAACTCCAGATTCAGACTTCAACTTCACTTGGGCTTATGATTTAAGTTCTTCGTGGAACTATTTATTTTTTCCTTTTTCTATATCCAAAAGGAAAGTTGGGACACACAGTTTCCTTTGTGTTCCTTTCTGCATGACTGCTTTCTTGCCTGTTTAACTCACAGAGCATAGGTAGCTCTTCCCTTGGACAGTCCCTGTTCCACTGGATTCCACACTTCCCGGTATTTCTAAGTGGGTACACACAATAAAGCTGCATCTCATTTTGGACTGGAAATAAGAGCCCACTTAACCAGTCTTATCAAGAAATCTCCAACACAAAAACATCACTTGTTAATAATGAAAAAAAAATTGGCACAGATTCAATATAATAGCCAGCCTGTCTGCCTTCCCTTCTTCCTTCATTCCAGGCCTGGGGATTAAACCCAGGGCCTTGTGCATGCCAGGCAGGTGCTTTTTAGCTGGAGTCACATCCTCCATCCAGAACAATACAAGAAGAAGGGGGTCAGAAGCAAGAGTGTGCTGAGGGGAGGAACTGTTTACCTAGGAGTCTCAAGTATTTGTATGGAATAAACAAATGATAGCTTGCTGGATTCTGACACAGAGCCCTCCAAATTATGCAGTATCTGCTTCTCTAACCCCATGGCTTAAGTAGAGTTATGGACATCAAGGAAATGGCTGAATGCTGTGTTTGTTCCTGTCTATTTCTCCCTTGTGTATATAAAATTTTGCATTCAAACTGCAGGCCCTTAGTCAATTAGCTACTAGGCAAAGAAGAGGTTTGCATTTGAACTAAGGCATTTATGTGCTCCCCGAAGCTCTGGGAAAGGGTAATGGCTCTGTGAAATGGAGTCTCCTGCCCATCCATGGCCTGGCAGGTACAGAGACAAGAAAACTCTATGTTCTGGGAACAACAGTGTGCTCGCTAAGTGGCTAGTGTCAAATATACAGGGCTCCTTGGAACTTACTATTTCAGTCTAAAGTGTCTGTTCATTACGAGAACTCTGGGTCTGCACTACCGGAAGGGATGGCATTGCCCTCACCTCCCTGCCCCATACCTGGAGGAGTCTCTGCTGCTGTCGAACTTGCGGCTGTCTGGGCCTCATTGGGTCCTGAGGCAGGGGCACCGAGGGGAGGTTGGGATGTGCGGGAGTCAGCACAGCATCAATTCCCCCGCCCACCAGAGGGCTCTGCTGTAGAGCCTGGTGGTTCAGTCTGGCAAAGAATAATGCAACTTGTGTTCAGGAACCAGGCGTACCATTGAAGTGTCAATCAGTGCCTCCAGCATTTTACACACATCCACCAAGAAACAATTCGTGTTCAGTAATCATGTGTACAATTAAAAATGGGAAAAGGCCAGAGGATCAGATAAAAGATCTGACCACATTGAAGAAAAAAAAAGAAGAAGAAGAAGAAAGTAAGCATACTACTTTGGACCAAGTAGCAATCATACAGAAATTACTTCTAAAAAAAATAGTTGTTAGCAGTTAAGTGAAATACGTTAATATTTACTTTGGAGCAGGCCTCAAGTGGAAAGGCTGAATGACAATATTTCATTATTCCTCACATATCCCTGTGAGGTCAGCAGTTGTATTATCTAACTGTAAAAATGAAGGAATGGAGATAGAGAAATAGCTAGGGTCACTCAGAAAACAAATGGCACAGGTGGGATTTGAACTCAGAATTGTGAGCACTGAAGCTCAAGTTATTGAATTTTGTTATGCTGCTACTTATTATAAAGATGAAAAATGTAATGCATGTTTTACAAGTTAACTTATTTCCCATAATGTGCTACCATCTTCCTTCCTAATTTTCAGAGAGCAATTATCCTGAGCAGACATGTAGGTAGTCCCTGACAGTAACACATGGAAGCTAAGCTGCTATCCACTATATGGTGCAGGACTATTCAAACCTAATTTTTCTGAACTATATTACCAATGGGATTAGATAATATGATAAATGATAATGATTTTTATCTGTGCCATCCAATGAAATGGCCTTTAGCCACTAGGACTAGTTGCACAATTAGCAGATCTTAGAACTAAACAAAACCAACACAGGTTCCTTGGTCAAAACAACAGAATTTCAAGAGATAACACAGAGCATCTAGTTGAACATGGGGCTTATGTAAACACCAGGTCTCCATGTCACCTCAGAAACCAGAAACCTCAGAGCTAGCCAAGCTGGCCATGGCTGGCTAGTGAGCACTTGAACTGTGACTAATGTGCCTGCAGAACTAAATGTTAAGCCAATTTGAATTAATTTAAATTTAGCCATGCATGGATAGCAGCTACAACAATGAGCAGCACAGACACACCCTATGTGGAAGGGATGCAATTAAAACAAGAACGGCAAAAGTCTACTGTGAGTCATCGCTGAGGTGGAAAAGATAGAAACTAAGTTGTAAGGAAACTTTGTCAAGCACCATCTACAATTAGTACTACAACAAAAACTGTATGTTTCCAATCAGCAAATTCTAGTAAAGGCACTGCTAGCAATGATCAACAGTTTTCTCAGATACTTTTAATAAAAGAAATCTCTTGATAAAAAGGGAAAAGAAAGAACACTACACTAAAAATACTGGTATCATTGGAAAATCTTACATAGCACCCAATAGAAGAAGTGAGTCAAAACTACAGTGTCCTTGAACAAAAGAATTTGGAACCTCTACTGCATGTTGGTAAAAAATGAGATGTCAGGACGCAAATAATGGAGCTCAAAAACCGACACAGTATCAAATGCCTGGAAGAAGTGTAACAAACCCAAGGCCGAGAGGGTTTACTATTGCAATTACTTCAACAGGTATCACCTCTGAGAGCCAGCTACAGGCTGCAGGTACGGTGAGGCCTGCTGCTGCACGTAGCCACTTGGCTGCTGCTGAAGCTGTCGTAGTCTTTCCATCAGCGCTGGGCTGGAATGTGCAGCTGGATAGGCCCTGGAGTTGTAGCTGGGGGAAAGGACCACACCACCAGACTGCTGCTGAGCTGCCTGTTGCAAAGGCATCTGTGTTCCATACATTGTGTAGCCCTGGGGCATGGTCTGCAGGAAGGCACAAAGGAAGAAGTCAATGCTCCAACTAGCACCCATATGCCCATCAGTAAGAAACCTGGAGAGAAAAAAAAAAGCCCAAAAGGTCCAATCTGAAATTCATGGTTCACACAGGCTCTGATGACTCAAAATACGAGGATGGCTACTCTGCAGGCAAGAAATTTAGCCAGAAACCCACAGAATAGACTGGTTGGGCAATGATCTGCACAAATCTCTAGTTCAAAATAAGTGAATATTCATTTGACTTTTAAGTTGAGTTGTTTAGTTTTGAGCTAAGAAGGGCATCTATCTATATAGAAATAACCAGCAAGGTAGCTACACATTCAGTGCACAGATATCGGCAATATCCAACAAAACCCAAACAATATCAGTATTGTCTCCAAAGTTGGCCAGACAAGGTATCATGGCCAGTGAACATTAAAGTAACAGAGTATGCTTTCCCAGTAATACAAGTACCTATTCCTCTAAACCTTGATACAGAAGTAAAAGACAAACATGGAGTTTTCTGGATCAGAAGAGACAATTCACTGAACAGAATGCTGTCTATTCTCTGGATCCTCAAAACGCCACATATTAAGGCAGTTTAAGAACAGAGGCTCTGAAGACAAAGATAAGACACAATAAACGTGCAACAGCCTACAGGAACCCAGACTCAGGACCTGCATAAGCCAAACACGGTTCTCCTTTCAGTTGAATACATGGAATGAACTGCCAGCCCTAATACAAGTCTTGGCATTACAGACTTTTTTTTTTTGTATAAAAGGAAAGGCTGTAAGGATGTAGAAATAATAAAAGTACTAAGGAGTGGTGGATAAAGGCCTACATTTTTTTTTAAGGTAGGTGTACCATTTGTTGAGCATTTACTGAGAATGTGATAGTATGTTAATTCCAGACATCACCTAGAATCTTTCCTCTTGATCTTCCAAAAAGGAAGCTAGACACATGTCATACCACTACTGAGTCAACAGCACTTGAGCTGTGACCAGACTGAAAGGCCTATTATCTTGTTCTCCTGTGATTGTTCATGGAAGTTGTCTTTGAATATAAAAATTGCTGTAGCAGGTTATGCTATTATACATTATATCAAAAATACTCTGAGATTACTAAACAATTGATGTATTTATTTATTTATTCTCAGACAGGGTCTGAACTACATAAGCATGGCTGGGCTCAATCTTCCTGCTTCTGCTTCCTGGGTGCACATTACAGGTGTGTGCCGTCACCTTGAATCAAATGCTTCAGTATCTTTCATCAGCAGACAAAAAGTCTAAATTTATTTACATTTCTACTTGAGGAATTTTCTGGTCAATCCGGAGACTCATTCAATAATTACTGTTCTGAAATTGTGAAGTATGTTCTAGATCTAATTGATAACCAGCTTCCTTGATCTCCTTCTCCCAACAAACAGCATTAAGACATCAAGGAAGTAGCTTTGCTTCAACCCTGATGTGGGTACCTGTGCTTGTTGCAGCCCTGGATACTGAGGGAGCTGAGGGGAGGGTCGTGCTTGTGCAGTAAAGAGAGCAGCCTGGTCCCCTGGCTGGCCCTGGAAAACAAAATCAAGACAAAGTCTAACTGCAAGTGTTGATTTGAGTTTCTGAATATAGAACTTAACAGATTTTGGACTGTGTTTAATGCACTTTCCCACCAGTTCCCTATGTGGGCTGACTACTGGCTTTTTCTTCAAACTATAAATGTTAGCAATAGCAAGCCTCTCAGTGAAGACTTTCTCAAATGACACTCTAGGTACCAGAAGGGCACAAATGCTTTTCTGGGTATGGAAGAGTCTCTAAAGTGTGACTTTCCAATCACAGGCACTAACTACTCTTGTCTTGTGTAGAAGGAGAAGAGGACGTGGTACATTCTCATCACATATAAAATTCCCATTGTTTTTAATGAGGTGTTACCACAGTGATATAAAAACTGTATTCAGCCATGTAATCAGAGGAAATTAGTGGCAGAAGCAATATTACTTTTCAAAAATACAGAATGAGTAGTTCAGTTTTCTTCTTTAATATTACACAGGTAAGAGAAAGTTAGCTTCTGGCATAATGGCACTATCCAGCTCAAATATCTGAATCATGTTAGACACATTTTAAAAGTGATTCCTTCATACTTCCATCCTCTGTCAACAGCTCACAACCACTGCTTCATTACTCCACTGTTAAAAATAAAAATACCAATGAAATGAATGGGTTGAAAATGCATTTCTTGAGGAAAGTATAAAAGGTTATACAAATATAATGAATTATTATTTTGTCTGATTTGTTTATGCTAGTCTTTTACTGACAGGTAAAAGCAATTATTTTGTTTACATTACTTTTTACCTACAGTAAAAAACCAAGCCAAAGATATTTATTAATTGCTTAAAAAACCTTGCTTTTATTCCTCTAAAATCAGGGACAAAACAAGGCTGTCCACTCTCTCCATACCTCTTCAATATTGTCCTTGAAGTTCTAGCTAGAGCAATAATACAACAAAAAGAGATCAAGGGAATACAAACCAGAAAGGAAAAAGTCAAACTCTCACTATTTGCAGATGATATGACAGTCTACATAAGTGATCCGAAAAACTCTACCAGGGAACTCCTACAGCTGATAAACACCTTCAGCAAAGTGACAGGATACAAGATTAACACAAAAAAATCTGTAGCCCTACTATATAAGATGACACATTGGTGGAGAAAGAAATGAGAGAAACATCACCCTTTATAATTGCCACAAACAACATAACATACCTTGGGGGTAACATTAACCAAAAACGTGAAAGACCTATACCGTAAGAATTTTGACTCTCTAAAGAAATAAAATTAAAGAAGATACCAGAAAATGGAAAGATCTCCCATGCTCTTGATAGGTAGGATCAACAAAGTAAAAATGGCAACCTTGCCAAAAGCAATGTACAGATTCAATGCAATCCCCATCAAAATCCCAACACAATTCTTCACAAACCTTGAAAGAACAATTCTCAACTTTATATGGAGAAACAAAAGACCCAGGATAGCCAAAACAACCCTGTACAATACAAGAACTTCTGGAGGCATCACCATGCCTGACTTCAAGCTCTATTACAGAGCTATAGTCCTGAAAACAGCTTGGTATTGGCACAAAAATAGACAGCAGGTAGACCAGTTGAAAACCCTGATATTAACCCACACACTTATGAACACCTGATCTGTGATAAACAATCCAAATTTATACGCTAGAACAAAGAGAACATCTTCAACAAATGGTGCTGGTATAACTGGATGCGGACAAGTAGAAGACTACAGATAGACCCAAGCCTATCACCATGCACAAACTTAAGTCAAAATGGATCAAAGACTTCAACATAAATCCAGCCACACTGAACCTATTAGAAGACAAAGTGGGAAATATCCTTGAATTGGTACAGGAGACCACTTCCTGAACATTACACTAGTAGCACAGACACTGAGTGCAACAATTGATAAATGGGACCTGCTGAAACTGAGAAGCTTCTGTAAGGCAAAGGACACAGTCAGCAAGACAAAAATGGCAGCCCATAGAATGGGAAAAGATATTCACCAACCCTACATCTGACAGAGGGCTCATCTCCAAAATATATACAAAGAACTCAAGAAGCTAGTCTTGAAAACACCAAACAATCCAATTAAAAAGTGGGGTACAGAACTAAATAGACAATCCTCAATAGAGGAATCTAAAATGGCTGAAAGACACGTAAGAAAGTGCTCAACATCCTTAGCCATCAGAAACATGCAAATCAAAACAACTCTGAGATACCATCTTACTCTTATCAGAATGGCTAAAATCAAAAACACCAATGACAGTTTATTCTGGAGAGGATGTGGAGAAAGGGGAACACTCCTTCACTGCTGGTGGGAGTGCCAAATTGTACAGTCACTGTGGAAATCAGTATAGCGACTCCTCAAGAAAATGGGAATGAGTCTACCAGAAGATCCAGCAATTCCACTCTTAGGCATATACCCAAAAGAAGCACAGTCATACAAGGACATCTGTTCAACTATGTTCCTAGCAGCTTTTATTTGTAATAACCAGAACCTGGAAGCAACCTAGATGCCCCTCAACTGAAGAATGGATAGAGAAAATGTGGTACATTTATACAATGGAGTACTACTCAGCAGGAAAAAAAAAACAATGGAATCTTGAAATGTGCAGACAAATGGAAGGCACTAGAAGAAACCATTCTGAGTGAGGTAACCCAGTCACAAAAAGACAAACATGGTATGTACTCTATTATATATGGATTTTAGACATGGAACGGGGGATTGCCAGTCTACAATCCCACCGCCAGAGAGTATGGGAAACAGGGAGGACCTTAAGAGAGACATGCATGGTACCCTGGAGAAGGGGAATATTACAGGATCTCCTGAGCAAATTGGGAACATGGGGGTAGGGGAGAGGGAGCTGGGAGAGAGGGGAAGAGAAGGATGTGGAGGAGCAGGAAGGTTGAGTCAGGGGAAGAATAGAGGAGAGCAAGATAAGAGATAACATAATAAAGGGAGCCATTATAGGGTTAAAGAGAAATCTGGCACTAGGGAGATTTCCAGAGATCTACAAGGATGACACCAACTTGCAATCTATGTAATAGTGGAGAAGCTACCTTAAATACCTTTTCTCGATAATGAGATTGATGACTACCTTATATGTTACCCTACAGCCTTCATCTAGTGGTTGATGGAAGCAGAGGCAGGCACCCACAGGTAAACACTGAACTGAATTCCTGGAACCTAGTTGCAGAGAGGGAGGAGTGATGAGCAAAGGGGTCAAGATCAGGCTGGTGAAACGCACAGGAACAGCTGACCTGAACAAGGGGGAGCTCAGGGACCCCAGAATGATGGCTGAGAGGCCAATATGGAACTGAACCAGACCCCCTGAACATGGGTGTCGGTGAGGAGGCCTCGGCAATCTATGGGGCCTCTGGTAGTAGACCAGTATTTGTCCCTGGCACACAAATGGACTTTGGGAGCCCATTCCACATGGAGGGATGCTCTCTCAGTCTGGACACATGGGGAAGGGCCTAGCCCCTGCCTGGGATGATATGACTGACTTTGGAGATCCCCCAGAGAGGGTGAAGTCCTCCCTGGGGAGCAGAGGGAAGATAGGGTTGGTGGGGGAGCAGAGGAGGAGGGGAGGGAGAGGGAGCTAGGGTTGATATGTGAAGCAAGCTTGTTACTAATTTTAAAAAAATAATAAAAAATTAATAAAATAAAACTAGGATTGGGGTAGAGTTACACCTATGGTCTGTGCTCCTGTGAGTGCCTAGGGCTTTTACAATGTACACAAACAGGAGGTCATCAAGAAGTAAAGTCTCAGAGACAAATTCCATTAAATTGGGCATGGTCAGTGCACTCAAACACAAATTGAGTAGTATGGAAATGAAGGCTATTGTTATTACCCATTATAGAAGAAAGGCCCACTTTTTATTGTGATGTTGGAAGGGCAATGTTGTAAGAGAAGACTGAAAATAAAAAGTCAGGAGGGTGTTACCATTATGTTGTCAAATTCTTCTAGAAAGAAGACAGCAGAGTTACATAGGTACTACAGAAAGAGGACAGCAAGAAAATGGCAGAAAATATAAAGGATTCCTTAAGCCTCTTATACATGTAGCCAAAATCCATATGAAAAAGATATATTTTAAAGCAATGAGTTAGGAAGTCAGAGCCAAAATATTAAATGAATTTATGTCAAAGGACCTCACTATAGACTAGGGCACTGATAGATAACACGGGGATACTCTTGTGATAGAACAACATCCTGGAAGTTAAATGGGGATTAGTAGACCCAGATACTTGCTATGACTAAAGGATATCGGAACCCCACTCACTGTAAACAACTATAGCCTCCTAGATCCAGTGTCAGAGCAAAGGATAGGCCATATATTATTGGAGGATGAATTAATTAGTTCCAGGAAATATAAGTGAAACACAGCTCTAGGCTGATCACAGGTTCAAACAAACATAAACTCACAGTATCTTTTTTTTTTTTTTTTTTTTTAAAAAACTGACAGAATCTGATTTAGGCAACTAGTTCCCAGGTGAGTTTCCTTGTTTAGTCATTTGAAACTGTGTTCCAAGAAGTAATTGTAACTACATTGGTTAAGCTTTCACAAGCCTCTTGAGTGCTAGAGATAGACACAAGGAAGAACACCAGCACCTTACTTTACTAAGGATCACCATATATGAGAGGAATTTCTAAGCAAAAAAACAAACAAACAAACAAACAGAAAAACACACCAGTACTTTTCATTGCAGGAACAAATGTATAAATACCGGAATTTGCATGCTGATGCTGATCCTTGGTTCCAATGGGTACCTTCTTATCAGTGTTTCATTTCTTTGAACTTTATCCCAATCTTTTGCCCTCTCCCAATAAACAATAAGCTATGCTCATTTTCCTCCAGGCTAGATCTTGGTGTAGATCAACTGTTTTATGACAGTATCATCATTAAGATCAACAGAAACACAGTATAATAAGCAAAAATCCAAATTTCCTGTATATAGCTTCTACCAAAAGACACCTTGAGAGGGTGTACATCATCTGTACT